CCAGCCACGGCCACCAGCACCACGTGAGGGTCTGAAACTGCTGCGTCCTTGGTGGCACCAACATGGTTCTGCTCACACTCATGTCTGTGTCTTGGTGTTATTCCACATCCTGGTGCTGTAACAACCCAAGGCAATGGGGGGGTTTGGGGTGGACAGAGTGACAGATGGACAGATGTCCCATCTGCTCTTAACCCCCACAGACCCAGGGTGATGTCCCAGGGGTGGGGTGGCCTCACACCAGCCCCTCACTGGGGCACTGCAGGGATGATCCAGCCCCTCCTGGAGCTCAGTGACATGTCCCCGTGTCCCCATTCACCTTCCCCAGCATCCAGCTTGTCCCCAGCCCAAGGCCAGGTTGTCCCCAGCGTGTCCCCAACCCAAGAAAGGGGCTGAGCCCCACATCAAGCAGCAGCACCCACCTCACCCCATCACTCCCCCCCTTGCCTCCCACTTCCCAGCAGTTGGGTAAGAGGCACACGCGTGAGGGCAGAGGGGGGGGAAGAGGAGGAGGAGGGGGGGATTTTTGGGGGGAGTTTTATTTGGGTTTTGTTTACAGACAGTTGGAGCATGAAATCAGCCCTGGAAAAATTAAAAACACTAATAAAAAGCCTCTCCCCAGGGCAGAGTTACAGCAAGAGCAGCCTGAGAGCAGGGCCGGGGCATCCTCCCTCCGCCACGGCACAAAGAGGAGGTGGGGGCTGGTTGGAACTGGGAACATCTTTATGTTCCACCTCCAAAAGCTTCAGATCTTTGCAAAAAATGGACAAACAAGGGAAAAATGGTGCCCAGCAGAAGGCAGGAGGCTGCCCTGGTTTAGTTGCTCCCTGGCTGAGAGAAGAGAGAGAATATACAATTTTTAAGCCCAAAAAGTTGATGTCCCAACCCTGCTGCCTCCCCTCGAGCAGAGGGACCTGGCTCTGGCAGCTGCCTCTGGCTGGAGAGAGGGTGAGGGTGGGGAAAAGGGGGGCTCGGAGAAGCCCCCGTGGTCAAGGCAGCTGGAAAATGAAGCACAAAGCAGCCTCATTCCACTCCCCTGAGCAGGGAGTGACAGGGACACCCATGGGTGCCTGGCTCGTAGGGTCACCCTCCCCTCGTCACAGTCACCGATGCCTCAAGAAACAAAGACACTGGGGTTCCTTTGTGTTTTTCATTAAAAAAACCCTTTATATTCATTTCATGGCGGTTGAAATCACAGGAAATTAGGTGGGAGGGAAAAACAACAACAACAAAAAAAACACAACAACAAAAAAAACCTCCCCAAAACTTGGAAAAAAAAAAAAAAAAGAAAAATAAAGAAAAAAAAATAAAGAGGGGACAAATACAGACACCAGCACAGCCCCCCCACGGTCGATGCTGTCGCAGGGCCAGGGGCACAGGACAAGACCTATGACATCAGCTACTGTGTGACTTAGTGAAGTAACTCAAGCAGGGGACGAGGCAGAGGCTGGTTTCCCTTCGCAGCCCCTCCACCTCTTCTTCTTCCTCCTCCTCCTCCTCCTTCTTCTTCTCCGGGTGGGAGCTGTTTCCTCAGCTCTCCTCCACGTCATCCACAGCCTCTGACTCCCCACGAGCTCTCTCGGCCTTGGGATAGTCCTGGATGCTGCTGAGGGAAGAGCACAGACACCTCAGGGAGCGTCTCTCCTGCCCCTCTGCCTTCTCCTGCCCCACACCAGCCCCTCTCCCACACCCCACAATCCTTCTCAAGCTGGGAGAAGCCCGACACAACCCATGGGACCCCCCCCCAAACCATCCATGTCAGCCCAGCTTGGATGTGGGTGGGATCCAGGGGAGCTCCCGAGCCCCCAGCTCTGCCCCTCGCACACTCACTTGTTGTGGGTCTCCTCAGTGGACACCTCTGGCTCTCCAGCTCCTGGCCCTTGGCTTTTGTCCTTGTCCTCTGTGCCCTCAGCTTTTTGGGACAGGGATTCACCATTCACAGGACCCGACAAGTCTAAAGGGAAGAGAGAGGCTGAGACACTCTGGTGTCCCCACAGCAGACTTCATCCACCCTCACCCAGGAGGGGATGGGCAAGCTGAGGACCCACAGCCACAGGTTGTCCCCATCCAGGCAAGGGACACCTAGTCAAGACTAAGAGGACCCCAGGTCTGACCTGACCCCCTGTAACTACAAAAAGTGCCCCAAAGACACCATCCCCCAAGCCCAGAGGTGTCAGAGTGGATTTTCCCCATCGGTTCCTCTGGGAAAGCTCTTGCAGCACCACCAGGACGTCCCCGGGCAGGGACCTGGCCACGCCGGTGGAAGATCCCAGTCACCAGCTGCCTGTGCAAGAGCCTGAGCCAGGGTTCAAGGACGGCTCCACATTCCTCCATCTCCCTGGTGCCTCAGACCAGCCCTTGAGCTGGCAGCGAGGAGACACCCTGGCCCCAAAAGCAGCCCAGAGGCACCCAAGGGCAGGGCGTGGGCGCTGAGGTTTGCCCTCTGCTCTCACTGCCGCCGCCGCTCAACGTCCAGCCCTTTCCCACTCTTGGCACTGCAGCAAAAAAAAAGGATTGGAGGTGTCACATGTGGCTGCTGATCCCCTCCCCCACCGAGGCCAAAAGCCACCCTTGCTTGTGTCCCTGGTCCCCAACAGGTCCTGGTTGTGTCCCCAGCAGGATGTGTTGTGCCCTGGGATCGTTTCGTGCCCGGACAGAGGAGGGAACCACCCCCAGATGTGTGCAGGGAGCGTTACCAGCATTCGTCTCCTCTTCCCCCTTCTCATTCCGTGTCTCCCCTCCCGACAGCTTCTCCTGGCCCTTCTCCACCTCCCCCTTCTCCTTCTCAGGCCCAGCTTTGTTGGCTTTCTGGATGGCCTCCATCTTTGGTCCCAGGACGCGTGACTTCAAGCGGGTGTAGACTTCAGCAGCTTTCTCCATCACGTCCTTGTTTGCTTTATAGCGACGGATCTGCGGCAGGAAGAGGGAGAAGGGACACACTCAGAGCCCAAGCAGGGTCCTCACTCCCTGCAGGGAAGGACCCAGCCCTCTGTCCTACCTTCTTCAGCGTGGCCACCACATCAGTGTGCTTCTGGAGAATGTGAGAGGTGACCTGGAGCGTGCCCAGCTCCTCTAACGCATTCAGACACCGCTTGATGTCCTGCAAGGGTGGCACCAAGATCAGAAGTTGCCTGGAAGTCCCTCTGCAGGGAGGGGGATTAAAGTGGGAGTCTGAGGGGGGGTCTCCATCAGCCAAACCTTTGTAGGGTTTTTTGGCCAAGCTTTGGATCCTGTCTCAAGAGAGAATGGCAGGCCCTCCACCCCCCACTCCA